GGGGGGTTATGTGCCTTCCAATTATAAAGGTCCGCAGAGGAGAAAGGCCAGTATTGGTAACGCCTCTCCCCCAACGGCTGGAGGGGAAAGGCCTGGGAGATTCCGGAGCTGTCAGGCCCCACCAGTGTTCTGTCTCTTCAAGATCGCAGTCGAGTGGACGGTGGCAATGGGTCCCCGGAGTCTCCGGTTGTAGAGCTCGGTGGTGGGGGGCTCTGGTCAGGTGCTGGGAGCTGGGATGCTGCCTGCTCGGCATTAGGGTAAGGAGGAGGGGGGTCCAGGAGGAGGAGATCCTCCTGTGTATCAGGCAAGACGGTAGGGGCTTTGGGCCTATGGTTGGGAGATCTGGACTCTGTCAAGGGGAACAGGGAAGAAGTCGAAGGGGGTGCAGAAGGAGTGGAACAGGCGAAGGCAGAGGTGTCGGGTGGGGGCCTGAAAGAGGGGGTGGAAGGAAGGGCCTGACCCAGGGAGGAGGATCACGGCTCAGGCTCTCCCAGGTGACAACATAGGGTACCTGGTCGGGGTAGCCCTGAGGTCCTGGCTGGAAAACACGAGTTTTGACCTGTAAGATAGTAGTGAGGTCAAAGGTACCGTCTTTCGGCCAGCCTGTATTGAGAACAGGCCATTTCGAGAAACAGAGAGTCCGCCATTTTTTCTTCCGGATCTCTACTGATTCGTTGCGTGCTCAGTTCAAAACATCCTGCCAGTGACCTAAAGTCAAACTTAAGGGGGTAGTTAGTTGCTGACCCATGGGAAGAAGTAGAGATTGACACAAATGACAAGCACAACAAAACAAAATACAACAGATAGGACAAACCGCGCGCGGTAGACAGGTAGCGCCAAACCAGAATCCAAAAAACAAGTTACAAAGCGGGAGGGAAGCAAAGTCTGGGGCCGGCCGCCTCCCTGGAGAAGTGAGACTTCTTCCTTCTCCCTCCTCCAAATGACCCTCAGACTTTCGTCCAGGCCGAACCACGAACTTCCTCGGAACACATCTGTTCAGAGCAGAACCATGAGTCTCAGAATACATCTAATTCCCTCTATGGTCCTTACCAAATACAAGACACATAGACACATAGACACAAGACACATAGACACATAGACTGTCTTACCTCCAACTGGCTGTGAAATTGAGTCTGGGAGGTGTCCTGATCTTGGTGGGACCTCCAAATGAAAGACCCTCGGATCGAGGAGTCTCCACAAAATGGACGGTCCCCCAAAAAACACTCAATGTCCAGTCCAGCTGATG